GTTTACATTAGTTTAAAAAAAAATGAAGCACATCTGAAAGCAATTTGTGTCACCTCTAGTAACCTAACACTTTATTTTTTTCTAGAGCGGACAAAACTCTACAAGATATTGTTTATAAGCTTGTTCCAGGGTTGTTCAAAGGTTAGACCACTTTTCTTGAGGCTGTAAAGCGACACATTAGCTCACAGGCATAGCTTCAGGTTTCCAGTGTGTGACACATTTCTTTCAAAACCCAGATGAGATGAAACGGAGGCGGGACTTCTACGCAGAGAATCGTGTGCTGGAACCAGGGGAAGTGGTCGAGACGTTTAACATAGCAGAGGATGAAATCATCAGTCTGTCGATACAGTTCTATGAGAGGAACAAGTGAGTCGCTCATTTCTTATTTTTACAATAAATTCTCACTAGTGGATCTGTTCATGGGAAGGTCTGTTCTGGGAAAGGTATAACAAAACAATAACACCTAATTACCCTGTCATGCACAAAGGAAACTTGCATATAAGAGCAGATAAGTCATAGCAGTGAGAGCTGTACGAACACTGTCTATGAGGCATGCACTGACAAAAAAGGTTCCGGTCAAACTTCCAGGACATCTCAGTGAAGATGGTTTAACACCTTGTCTTTGTCATTTAATGTTTTTCCGCAGAAACAGTGAGCGGCACCGTGCAGAGATGGAAGGAGACAAGGTAAAACCTGAATTTACATTAAGAAGCGTAGTTGGGTGAAGCAGTAGTTGGAGCTGGCATACTTGATGTTTAATGTGGTTTTCTGGTCCTCAATCTGGATTTATGCTCCCTGTCTCTGTTCTCAGTCCAATGGTAAACGCTTCCTGCAGTGCCCAGCAGCCATGTCCGTCATGCACTTAGCAAAGTTCCTCCGAAGCAAGATGGATATTCCCAATAACTACCGGGTAATTATATACAATGCACCCACACACAACACCTTTTGATGTATTGATTCAAAATACATGGTTCTGGCAGAATAATATAAAATACCCTGCATAAGTGGGGCACCTTGGAAAAGTGGCCCACAAATGGCCACAGAAATGCCACAAGTGCAATTGACATGGTTTGAGTCACCTTTTCTAAAAAACTCACATAAAAAGACTTAACTACAAACACTTCTACAGTGTTGGATCATATATAAGCTGGATGCATTTGTCATTTAGAAGAGCTCTGACAATCCGCACTGTGACACGTGAGCTTTCACTGCAATGTGATATCAGACAGAGGTGCAAATGGCTTAAATCAAACAGGACGCGCCCAGCATGAGGGACATTGCTCAGAAAACTGCAGAATTATTAAATATGTCAAGATGAACAGTTTCAAGGAAAATACAGTGGACAGCTTATTGACAAATGCAACTGGAGCAAGCAACAAGCAGCAGACTGTGAAAAGCACAGGAATGAAATTACTCTGATTGTATGTTATGTGTTTTTCAAATCAAAGATGGTGCCACGGATGGCTGCCTCAATCATGTTTTACTGTATATATACTCATTTTATAAGTACTTTATTCTTGTTTTTCCTTTCCTAATGCACATTCATTTTCTTTTCTTGTTGTCAGTCTTATCTTGTCTTGTTGTCTACTCGTTGTACATGGACATTGGGAGCCACTGTACTAGAGTCAAATTCCTCGTGTGTTCAACACACCTGGCTAGTGAGGCTGATTCTGTTAGCCCCACTGCTAGCCTGGTGGTCACATTTTAGGGTAAATAGTTTTAAATTTGCTACTGATGCTATTTGTATTTGTAGCGGTTAATAAGTGAAACCAGATACAAAAGCAGTTCTTAATTAGCTTAAATTACTAAGTTATAATTAGTATAGGACACTATTTACAAGCAATTTGAAGCCATTTGCCACTGGCTTGTGAATACCTGTGTAGTTGTTTTTACTAAGTAGGATATGTCATTGAATTTTTATTATCTTCGACTCACAACTATGAGTCTCAGCTGTTTGTGTTTTGTGAATATGGTGTCCGTTCTCTTTAGCTGTCCCAGTTAGCCTAGCTAATGAGCCTGCATACACAGAACAAAGGCCCTGGCTCATTTAAATGGGCTTCATTAATGTTATGAGCTGCACCTGTGCTTTTCTGGCTGTGACATGCTAAATTGTCTGCTGTGGAAAAGGTCTGAATTCAACAACTGTAGCTCCCACCAGTTGTTTGGATGTTATTCTTAAATGTGGTCAGTATGGTCAAAGCTAACTAAATAATCGTGTTGCTGTTTTAAACAGTAACATGCTTACAGGTTGCTGGCTAGTCCTCATTTAGTCCAAAATTTGGACAAAAACCCAGTTTATCATTCAATAGTGTGTGCTGTTATGAAAGCTAGCTTAGCTATCAACTTTCAAACCACAGCTGATCTGCTAGCATTTAGCAACTTCAGCTCCCATGAGTGCAGCGTGGCAGAACGGGGAGAGAAGGAATCTGTTCCATATTACTTAAAGACTGATCCTTTCACAGAAAAACAGGATTTTTCAGTTGTAATTATGACTTGGATGTTGAACTAAATGGTATTCACAGATGGCAAACTGGGAGTTATAGTAAGTACACCTGATGGGACTGTGGCATAATGGTACTTGGTATAATGTACAGTTACTTTGAAAAAAAAAAAATTTAAGGATAGTGCTAATTGGAATAATTGTTTTGTTCCTGTCTGTCCAGCTCCAGTTTGTTTCCCAGTGCAGTGCTTTCTGTTATGGCCTTGTCCTCTCCCTCCCTTATAATGCTCCTTGATCCGGACCTCACAGCAGGTGGTGTTATTGAAGGCTGACAAAATCATCATCTTTGCTCAAATGATGAGGTCTGCAAATTTCATGTCATGTTTTAGCTTCAGCTTTCATTAATAATATTACTGGGGTGAATTTTTCAGACATGGTAGCGAGTGTTGGCACAAAATATTGGCAGTTTCAGTTCAAAAACACAGATGTCAGCCTGAGAAGAATCTAAGATGGTGAAATTTTGAATGGCGTTTCACTTCACTTTGACATGTACAATATGTGCGTGCATCAGTTTTGAAGAAATCTAAACTGAAGAGATGAGCTGTTTTCTGCATAAACATTTCGTTTAAATGGTGTGACTATGTGTTACAGGTGGAGGTGTTGTACGGCGATGAGCCCTTGAAGGATTACTACACACTAATGGATATTGCCTACTTCTACGAGTGGAGACGAGTAAGTGACAGCGTTCGAATTCATGCTGAGTTTCTGAAGCATGCTATATGTTGACAGATTGATTTCTTACCAGCTGTTCGTGTAACCCATTACTGGGAACACATGAATGGAAACTCCAGCATTAAAGTTTGCTGGATTAAAGCTTTTGTAGAAACCTCCAAACTCAATAATTCATGACATGATGAAAGTTTGGTGATCGTTAGTTTTCAGTGTCAGTGTTTTGTCTTGTCAGTTTTCTCATAGCATAGACTGAGAATGCTTTTCGTTTTTTTTTTTTTTTCAGACTATGTATTTTTATATTATATTGGTATTTTATAATTCATAGTGCTGCTACTGTCGTGTGATATTTCAAATAATCATATTATGCTCTGGTTCTATCCTTTGCTGTAAACTGTGGTGAACCTCTTTGCGAGATTTAACTGATTAAATGAAATGAGGGACATGACATACCGCACAGGCACTGTGGTTATGTAGCATGTTCTGTGACCATTCCACTACTGGTGTGCTCTGAAATGGGACTAGCAGTTCCTACTACTATCCTCTTATCATCCTTTGTTAACTGAAGCAACTGTGATGATTTGACTAGGGTATGTTAAAGGTAGTCTACCTGGTTTCTTTTCAGCCGCTACTGAGACTCAAAACAAAATCACAGCATAAGCAACCCCTAAGCAATCCTTTCCCCCTCCCGTCCAGTTTCCCTAAGAGACACTGTGAACTATGGACACCTGGTTGTAACAAACTGTACAAAATGCAGCCTCTGCTCCAAAGCTAACGTTAGCTGACTCATGAATACATTTGCCAAAATCCAGTAGAACACTTGGGTTACTGCAAATGTGACACAAAATACAAAGAATTTCAAATTCAAATCATATTATTTCAACACGGAGATAAAATCATGACCATGCCAGATTGCCATTGTTACCAAAACAAACCAAAACAAACAAGTTGGTTTTAGATACTATTGCATCCAGAAGGAAGAACACATCTGAATCAAATTCAAGTCCTTTGGCTGCTTTTAATGCTTTCCATCTCAAAAAGTCAAACCGATGTTAACCCTGGTTTTGCAGCAGTGTTGCTCACTGATGTGTTTTAGTAGTTTTGACAACATGGAGCTCTGTGGCACAGAGGAATAACAGATATTAGGTTTCGTCTTTCCAGACAATACTTGATAGTAGAATTGCTTTATTGCTGGTTTTCGTCTATTGGGGGATTAGTTGACAGTAAGGAAAATAAAGACTGCTCATCTTACATGCTAAATTTTTTAAATCTAAATTTTAAAATAAACTTACAAACTGTTACAGTCAGGTTTTTCAGCAAACTGCACAAATATCTTGAAAATGCGTATGCTTCTGTGCAGACTGGACCCATCCCCCTGCAGTATCTTGTCAAACCAACCCGGAAGCGAAGGAGGCCGTCCCAGTCCGCCGCCCAGGGCCACTCTGATGGCGTCAACACCAGCCCAACATCAGAGAGCGACTCTCATAGCGACAAAGTCCACAGTCCTGCTGCAGCCCAGCTGCCCCGAGCCTCTTCACAGTCCAGCCCTTCGTCCCACAACATCTCTCCCGCCATCCAAAGCTCCAACGGTACCACTGTGCCCAACAACACTCAGCGACACACGCTCGCCTCCAAACAGGGCGCCAACCCTCGCAAGATGACTGTCAATGGCACAAGCTCTGGGACCAGTAAAGAGGAGGCGAGGGGAGGTGACAAAAGTGGTTTGCCTCCGACAACCTAACGTGTGTAGAGGGCAGCAGGGAGGACAGTGTTTGAACTGCTCTCTTCTTTCTTTCTACTGAGCAGAAAGAAGAGCTTGAGCCCTCTTCCCTCTGGACAAACGGGAGGCAGATTACTGTTATCATCTTTCAGCAGG